GGAAGGGTCTGGAGCACAAATCCCATGAGGAGCGGCTGGAGGAGGCTCCAGGGTGACCTTATCCCACTCTACAACTCTCTGACAGGAGGGGGAAACCTGGTGGGGGTCGGGCTCTGCTCCCAGGCCGTGACAGGACAAGAGAACATGTGCATAGAGCTTATGCTTTCAAACTGTGCCGGGGAGTTCAGGACGGACAGAGGGAGGAATTCACAGAAAGGGTGATTAGACACTGGAATGGATTGCCCGGGAGGTGGTGGAGTCACCGTCCCATGAGGTCCTGAAGGGAAGGCCGGACGTGGCCTGGGCTCGCTGATCCCCGAGCCCTTTCCAGCCTCACTGATCCTGGCATCCCGTCAACTGCTGCGCATGCGCGCCGGGCTCCCGCTGCGGTGCCTCGTCCGTGCGCCGCGCGCCCCCTGGTGGTGCGCGGTGAGGGGCCGGGGCCGCCATGGTGGCGCGGGCGCTGTGGGCGCTGCTGGCGGCGCTGCGGGCGGGCTGGTGCCTCCTGCCGCAGAGCGGGTACCTGCACCCCGACGAGTTCTTCCAGGCACCCGAGGTCATGGCAGGTAAGGCGTGCGCCCGGCACGGGGTGGTCCCGCGCGGGGTCGAGGTGACGCGAGGCGCGCGGCCACGGGCGCCGTGTCCCGCATCGCCGGCCGGGCGGGTGTTCCCGAGGGATCCCGCTCCGTCACAGCGCGTCCCGCAAGCCGGGCACGACAGCAGCCGCAGGGATGGCCGGCTGGGTGCGTTCCTGCTCTGCGCTGTCCACAGCGAGTGGCGCCTCGAACCACGTTACTGTGAGAGGCTTCTCGATGTTTTGTAGAAATGAATGGTACGCTCCTAAAAATGTCAAGGTTGACGCCAGTCTCAAAAGTTTAGGAGCTGCTCTGTATTGTGATGCCTCTTATACCAAGTAGTATCCCTAATGCTGAATTACTGAATAAAATACATTATGTATTTTTTTATTATCTATATGTATTTTTCTCTTCCTTTGTAGGAGATATTTTAAATCTACAGGTCTATTATCCATGGGAGTTCCTTTCCAACTCTCCTTGCAGAACAGTTGTTTTCCCATTAATGACATCAGGAGTTACATACTGGGTGATCAAGTCTTTGCAGCAGTTGGACATATGTTCAAGTTGCATCAACAGCTACACTCTCCTTGTATCTCCTCGCCTGCTCTTTACAATCTTTTCTTTCATACTCGACTATAGCGTTTATCGCTTGGCCCCTTTCTGGGGAGCAGATCCGTGGAAAGCGCTGGTACTTCTTGCTGGATCCTATGTCACGCTGGTGTTTTATACAAGAACGTTTACAAACACGCTCGAAGGACTTCTCTTTGCTCTTCTCCTGGTACTGGTTTCTTCAAGGAAGTCCAGTGGCTCAGCAGAGCCTACAAGCAGCTCTCTCATAGGTGTCCTAACAACTGCTGGGTTTTTCAACAGGCCAACCTTTCTGGCATTTGCTCTAATGCCTCTGCTTTACTGGGCTGGTTTAATTGTTGACTCTCAAAAGAGCATTAAAACTCTCATAAATGACTTCTTGAAGTTTATCCTATGTGCATGTTTTACCGCTTTTGTTTTCATAACTGCTGACACCTTCTATTTTACCTCCGTGAGCTTAGACAACCTCTACAGCACTAACAAGAGCAGCCTGACTGATGTAATCGTTCAATTACATGACAAAATGGTAGTAACCCCCTTCAATTTTCTCAGCTATAATCTTAATCCTCATAATCTTGCACGGCATGGAAGTCACCCACGAGTTACACATTTTACAGTCAATGGAGTAATGCTGTTTGGTATCTTACATATTCTGGCCCTCGGTGCTGGCTTTAAAATGCTAAAGAAGTATGTCCATCAGTTAATGCTGGTCAGATGGTGCTGCCGTGGGCTGCCTGGGCTCTTGGTGCATTCTGAGGGCAGTCCAACGTTGCTGCTGTTTTATTTTGTTCCTCTGGCATTTCTCTCCCTGTTCAGCCACCAGGAGCCTCGGTTTCTCATCCCTCTCATCCTGCCGTTGGTCCTGTTCAGCGCGACACCGCACAGAGCTGTGAAATGGAAGCTCCTCATTGTTCTGTTCAACCTTCTGGGGGCACTGCTGTTCGGGTGCTTACACCAGGGAGGGCTCATTCCCTGCTTGTTTCACTTGGAGCAGCTCATCCATTCCCCAGCATCCTCAAGCCACCCGCGGCACTACACTCTGCTCTTTGCACACACCTACATGCCTCCAAGGTCTCTGCTGCATATCAAGAAGACAGATGTGCATGTGGAAGTCATTGACATGGCTGGGGCTGCAGAAGAAACCCTCTGCCAGACAGTAGAGCAGCGAGCAAGCAATTTTACCTGCAGCAACTGTCACATCTTTATTATAATCCCTGGTACTGTCAGAGCCACAATTACAAAATGTGGTGTCTCATTCAAGAATGAGACTTTGATATTTCCTCACTTATCAATGGAAGACCCACCACAAATACCTGTCCTATCCAGTGGAAACTGGAGGAGTCAGTTAGGACTTTACATCCTTGAGCTAAATATAGATCATCAGAGCCTTTAGATTTTAGGAGAACAAAAGTCTTTTACTTACTTTGGGAGCTGTCTGATAGTGGTGTGAGACCTTCCTCTTTCATACACCCCCCTTTCAGCATCAGCAATGGCACTGGGAGCTTTCCCACATCTCTTTATTCACATTCCTCACACTCTTAGGGTAGCCAGTTCTGGACAGAACCTGCTTAAAATTTGACTTACTCAGCCCTATGGTATTTTATATGAACTTTTGTACTTCTCCTGATGAGAGAGGATGAAATCAGAGCCCACCAAAACTGTGATTGAAGCTTAGCTGTTTCCATGTGAGATTTATTTTTGAAAGCTCTAATAATCTGACAGGGTTTGGGGACTGTGGGGTGTTTACTGATAATAGGCATTAATTCAGCTGCTGGAGAGATGTTACAGGGTTAGACAAAAGCTGGTCTGACTCAGTAATCTTTTATTTTATGTTCTTAAAAATTCATTAGACCAGACTACACTCGTCATTGCCTTGGGTGGGTCCATCTTGAAAAATCCCCAGCCCTGATTTAGAACGTGGCAGAATCTAATTTAGAACGTGGAGGATGCTTCAGCCTAAGTGCTTGTGCTAAATCCTAAAATCCAAGCTTTGCCTGTTTAGCCTTCCCTGCCACAGCTGCACCCTCGTGAACGTGCTACCCGCGTAGCGGGAGGGCAGCACGGCGATGGCATTCAGCGTGCGCGGTGTTCCGCGGCCGCAGCTCGGGCGCTGCTTCCGAGCGCGCTCCCGCCGCTCCTGTCGCGGCTGTCGCGGCTCTGTCACGACTGTCACCCCGGCAGAGCTGGACGGAGGAGCTGCGCAGACAGAAAGCGGGTAACGGAGGGATTTGATCCTTGGTGCCACTGGAGCAGATGCATCCATCTCTGGACGGGCTCAGCACACATCCGGATCCCCCGGTGCTGCTGCCGTGCAGGGAGGGCAGCCTCGAGCCGCATCCCCTGCGGCCCCTCCCCGTGCACTAAGTGCTCCCATTAAATCAGCTCCGTGGGAAGGACAGCTCCTATCCTGGCTTTCCACTGGAGAGCAGTCTCTTTTTAAACTGGACGCCAGCACCTGGGCTTCAGCTGACAATGATGTATATGCACAGCATGACCTACAATATTTGGTTTTGTCTGCGTGAACTTCTGGATCCAAAACATCCTGACTTGACACATGCATTGTAGATCAAGCCTCTCTCTCTGAAACAAATCTGACACTTGAATTATTTCTGCTCACAAAGGTGGTAATGCTTTTGGCAGTTCTTCACCCACACAACCTTACATAAGGTCTTAAGAGCCAGGCTTTCAACAGAGACAAGAATAATACAGGTTGATGCCAGGCTCTAAGGAGAATCTAGGAAAAATGAATGTATGAATGAGTTGCCTGTATTTTCCAACCTATAGGTATGACCTAGATGTTTAAGGAGCATAGCTCTTGCTCTCTTGTAAAGCATTTTGTCTTTTGTTGCCTGTATGTCCATCCCACATCCTTCACCCTTCACTGCTGGCCTGCCTGTAAATTAAAGGTGTGTGTTTGGGGGGAGGCAGGGGGAGTGAAGGTGCCTGTTTTTGTACTGGTGACTCACAAAGTAGTCTAAGTACTTGTGAAAGCATTGTGACAGCAAATGTATTTTCCGAGTTAATTTTCTTTTTGCTCTCTTACACTGGGGTGACACAACTGTGTGCCACAGCTGGTAATCCATGTCCTGCTTCCCATTTGCAGCTTTCTTAAACAACTTAAATCTTGAACATTTTCATGAAACTTATGAATTCTGGCAGTCTGAGTGGGGTACCTCTGGAAACTCTTGGGGGATGTAATGGAGCACCATTCCCAGGGATGATGACTTCTCTACCACTGCACAGGTAACCTGCAGAGAGCCAGCAACAGAACCTGGACTACAAATACCAGCTCAGACTAACCAAATACTGCTTTTGTCCTGCCAGCCAGACCTTTGAATTTACACTGTAGATGCAGTTCCTCCATCCATGCTGGAAGTTTAACTTCACCAGCAATGCAGGAAACTGTATCTCACACACAGTACAAGGCTCTTCTCACCTGGGATGATAAAAGGAGAGGAAATGACCCTGCCCAGTTAACTGAGCCTCTACTCAGCTGGATCAAACATGAAACATGCTCTGAAGGAAGGTTAACTGCTCTAGTGTCACAGATGTCATCAGATACAGTGTCTTAAGCAAACCTTCCCTAGGCATTATACGTGATGGATGCATCATAGTCCATTATATAGCTGTATGTCCGTTTATATGTAGGGTGACTCTCATTTTTTCCCTATAAACCCTTCTTGCTACAGTAGACTTGAGGTGTGCTTTTAGGATAACTACTGAATCTCTTTTACCTTCCTGTAAGGTGTCCATTATCCTGTCCATCACCATCACTTCAAACCCTTTTTGTAACAAAACGGTATCAAATACAGAGAATTACTCCTGTGTACACAGACATTGTTACAGGTACTCCCGTGAGAATTGTGATTTTATTTCAAGTTTCTTATCAAGCGCTTGAAGTGACAATCTTCACAGCATTGTAGGTGATTATAAAGCGAGTCTGCTTGTTCCTGAGAACCGTGGGACGTGTATTCTGTCTTTGAAATGGAAATCCATGAAACCGATGCGGCGCAGCTCCCCGCGTCCATGCATTCCCGAGGAGTCGCTCCAGGTCACGCGACGGGGAACGCACCGTCCAGTCCGCAGCTCCATCGCCAGCCGGGCCCCGCCGGGGTCCGCAGCGCTCCCGGGGCCCTTCCCCCGCCGCTCCCAAGGCGCCGGGAAGCGGCGGCGCTCCCGTCTCCTCGCGGCGCTGTCCGCAGCTGCCCCCCGCTCCGAGCGGCGATCACGGCGCGGACCCGGGGCGGCCTCCGCGGCCCGCAGGCGGCGAGGCGCGCGGGGCCGGGAGCGCGCGGTCCGGCCTGCGCTGGGGTTGGGCCGGGCCGGGTCCGGCGGTGCCGCCGCCATGAGCGCCGGCGGCACGCTGAGCATCCTGCGCAGCGACTCCTACGCCGAACTCAGCCAGTACCGGGACCAGCATTTCCGGGTGAGCCGGGGGCGGGCGCCGGGGGTCCGGCCGGGCCGGGCCGGGCCGGGCCGGGCCGTGAGGTAACGCTGTGTCCTTGCGGCCCAGGGGACGCGCTACGACCAGGAGCGGCTGCTGAGGAAGAGCTGCACGCTGTACGTGGGGAACCTCTCCTTCTACACCACGGAGGAGCAGATCCACGAGCTCTTCGGCAAAAGTGGCGACATTAAGAAGGTCATCATGGGGCTGGACAAAGTGAAGAAAACCGCCTGCGGCTTCTGCTTCGTGGAGTATCCTTGTGCTGCACGGCAGGAGCCGTCAGGGTGTGGGTGAACTGCTCTGCACTGCAGGCTCTGAATTATGGGGGATTTCTCCGAGGATAAAATGAATCATTTGCTAAAGCAAATGTGGGAGGTCTGTGGGAGACCCTGGCGAGAGAGAGCAATGCTGGGAAATTATGGGGGAGTTCTCCGAGGATAAAATGAATCATTTGCCAAAGCGTCTGTGGGAGACCCTGGCGAGAGAGAGCAATGCTGGGCTCACGCTTGGGTGCCATGGTCTTACAGGTGTTTTCCAACCGTGATTCTGTATTCGAGCATACACTGCATGTCGAGTGGGGCTAGATTGCTTTCACTTTGGTACTTTAACCCAGACATCTGTTGGGTAGTTGACCTCTGCAGTAAATTCATATTCTCCATGCCGAGGTTAAAAGGTCTTTCTTTTCATACACACGTGTAAGGTTTCCATTGGCATCTTTCATCCCTGTTCTGTGCCTTCGTTATGTGCGGGTTTCTGAGGATCATTGTGTTGCTGCTTCCAGTGAATTCACCAGACTGGTGAAAGTTTGCAGCATGAACAGAGCATGCCTGGGGCTTCCCACTCTTTAGCAATAGAGCTTTGTCCTGTTACATATCGGCATGATGGACAAACTTTTTACTGCTTGAACTGCTGCATGTTTCACCCTTTCACTAGCAGTTTTCTTAGATGGTGTACCTTCATAAAAGTGGTTCAAGCAAAGACTTGGTTTTGTAGCCCATTTGATATTGTTCATTTTCCCATGTGTGAAAACAGAATTCTGGTTTTTTCATTAACATATTCCTAAGGTATTATGCCAGAGGAGATGCTGAAAACGCAATGCGATACATCAACGGGACCAGGCTGGATGACAGGATCATAAGGACAGACTGGGATGCAGGGTTCAAGGAGGGCAGGCAGTATGGCCGTGGACGATCAGGGGGGCAGGTAGGTTGTTGTACAGCCTGGGGTTTTAAGGGAATGGTGGCTTTGCCAAACTTCTTGATTTTGAATGAACACTGAAACATTTCAGAAATAGCAGCTTAGGAGTCATTGTTTAAGATAACGCTAGAAGGCATCTGATCAATGGCAGTGTAATTTACTAGGAATAAATAACTCCTTCCTACATTTCACTAGAAGTACTTGCAGAAACAACTCTTGGCTGCTTGGGGAGATAATGCTTTTAAGTAAGCTCAGAAAAAGTCAGAAACATACAGAAACGTAAAACACTTGGGGCTTACCTCAAGTGGAGCAGGTGGCAGTGGCTTGTACTGCCAAAGCCCAAGGCTGGCCATCCTTGCGTGGGCTGTGTTGATCAGAGAGTCCCTAGACATGAGGAAAGAAGTTAGTTTATGCTGTTCTGAGCTTCTGCATGATGCACTTCACCTTCTCTTTGGTCAGACAGCTCCATATAGCCACTTACGTGTTGTGATGTTAGTGTGACTGTATTCTAATGCTGTAGCAATTTTTGAGAAATTGTTTTTCCCTTGTCTTTTCTGGACTTCCCTTTCTCCCTCCTTCGTTAGGTCCGAGATGAGTATCGGCAAGACTATGATGCTGGAAGAGGTGGCTATGGCAAAACTGTTCAGTGCCAGTGACTCCTCAGCCTCTCAAGAGAGCCAAATCTGCATAGTCAATGCCCCCAGGCACAAAGTGGGTTTGTTACACACAGTTCACAGAAACTCCTATCCACGTTCCTGTGAGCACATCCTATGTTCAATACCTCTTTGTTTTAATACCAGGATCCAAAGCATTGCAGAGGACCTGGGAGCAAGGCTTTAAGCATTAGAATGCTGAGGCTTTGGTCTCAAAATGCTGCTATAACTTACTGAAAGAAGCAAAGATGCAATGTTATGGTGCTTTTTTTTTTCTCTCTGGCAAAACTTGATTATTCTACTGGGTTTTGTTTACATTGGGATCACAGGGTGAGCAGCAGTGATAAAGGATGGTTGGTGGATGTTTCACAGACGAAAGCAAAAGGCAAAGAGCCTGAAAAGGAAGTGGAATTTATAGGGAAATTTTTCAGTTTCTAGAGAAGAATTCTAAGTTGCAGATTTTCTGGTTTTAAGGATTAGCATCCTTTTCCACTGATGCTGTTCCTGAAACCTTTACATGAGCAGCCATTATAAGACAAATCAGACTGAGTTCAGGAACCATGAAGTGAGAAACAGAGAGCAGGAAACAGACTGCTGTCTTCTACAAATTACAGTTGTGATTGCATGACAGAGAAGAGCAAATACAAGAATTACAGTACTATTATTTCACAATTTGAGTATTAGTATTTTGCCCCATCTGGTAGATCTCTACAGCCTTGATATTTGAGAGCAGTATCTTCCCCGTGCCTGTAAGGGTTGCATGAAGCCAAGTTACCTCCAGAACTGGGATGATTGAGGAACTGGGTTTATAATGAGAAAGTTTCTTCCCAAAACAGGTTTTCTGTTTGAGAAACTTGATTTCAGACAACTTAAAAATAGAAATAAAAGAGTTTTGGGAGGAGTTTTACTGAGCATGTGATAAGAATGGTAAAAGGATTTCAGGATTGTGTAACTTGTTGTGTTTTGTTTTTTCTCTTTCCCCACTGGATTCATTTGTACTGCTTGTTAATATGTTGGAATTTTGGTGTCCTGCAGACATTGGTTTAAAAAATGTGATCCCAAGATCAAGGAAATTTACCTGCTGAAACAAAATTGTTGAAAAAGAACTGTTACAGGGCTTTGAAATTTCTTCATGGACTTCTGAGTTCCATGTAAACTGCAGTTACTAAAGTTTTGTGCAAATACCTTGTTGCCCATGACTCCTTATAAACTTTCAAAGGTGTACAAAAGTAGAACTTTACTCCGTGAAGGCACTGTAGGAAATTTTGAGGTGTTTCTTGCATACAGTTAATCACAACTGTTACTGTAAATTGGAAGACAAGTGAGATTGAACAGCTCCTTAGTTAGGAAGTGCGAGTTTGAGGTTTTTTGGTGTGTCAAGTAAAACTAGACTTTTGGGATTACTTGGTGCTGGTCTGCAGATAAGCTTTGAACAAAATTACCTTTTCCAATACAGTACATTTGACTATGAGTTTACAGTCTGTAATCTGCTCTAGAGCACTGCTGAAGTTTATTTTCATTGTATCAATTTTGTATAAAAAATATGTTACCAAAAACTCTAAAGTCACTTTCTTTTAAATAAAGCTGCAACATTAAAATGGTTTGTTATTGTGGATTTTTTAACAGAATCAGTGAACTAAAGGAGCTGTATCCACACTCTTGGTGACATCCTCTGTTTTAGTCTCTTTTAAGATAGAAAGAATGAATATTCTTTCCCTTTCACTGGATTTTCAGGCTTGTTCTGTTCTTACCTGGATTCTGAAATGTGTTTGGTTAACGTTCTTCGTTCTGGTTTGAATTTCTTTGGATTACAGGATAGAAATTGTTTCTTGATAGTGAAGTAAATGTGAAAGTCTGTTGTGTAAGAACTAATTGTCAAGGTGATTTCCTTATAAAAACGAGGTCTAAAATTGTTCTTTATTGTAAGTACTGCCAGTACTTCTCAAAAAGTCATTCTCAAATGAGATGGAGGTGGCAATAAGATTGTCTGTCACAGCAGTCACTGTTCTTTGCTGCTTATGTGCAGTGGGTCTGGAAAGAGTATGTTTTAAAGTGTTTTAAAGTAAGATTTTCTCTTTTGACAGATGCCAATCAGTGGTATTTAAAACCAACATAATATGTCATATAAACTCTTAGAATCTCAAAAGCTCATATAGAGGAAATTGAACGTGGTTTGATTGTTACCTTCCCTAATTGAAATTGCATCTGGGTCTTCTTAACCTAGTGCTTAATGAAAGGAACTGAATCAAGTCTTTGAAAGTTCTCTGGGGACTTCTTCACCTTTCTGGCATGCTGGTGCTTTGTGATTAGGTTGTCTTGGAAGGACAGAATCTCCCATGCTTCTTGGACAAGCTACTTCATTACAATTACAAACACTTTCATGGATGTTCAAGCTCTGTGTTAGCATTTCTAAGTACTTGTTCATCATAATTAGCTACTTTTATGGAATTGTATCCATAACAAAACCCAGCAGTAAAGAATATGAATGGAAACAGATATGCCCTGATGAAGGGGAGTATGTTAGACGTTAAAGCAGTGGCAACTTCATTCTCTCCCTCAGACTGGTGCAGGCTCAGGGGGTGATTTACATACATTGCCTCTCTTAGGCAGCAGTGGCTGCAAATAAGATTTGTATTCATAGCATTTGAGTCTGGGAATTACAGGGTTAAGTCAGTGGAGTGTAAAATCATTAGAGACATTTGTTTTCAATGACTGACACAGTAGTCCTGTTAGCAGTGTCTCAGGGCAGGCTCATTCCAGTGTGGGCTGTGTGTTAGGTTCCTGCTCAGGTTGGTGCAGGCACAGCAGCTGTTGGTGTTAACAGTCCTTTCTACACAGACAATTAAGTAAAATACTGAAACTATTTAAGCTAATATCCAGCACCTCATATTCCAAATCTTGTCAGATTAGGCTTCTTGTGAAGGAAAAAAATGGATGAAAACTACTAAAATGGACATGGTTTGTACATGGTTTCATCTCTAGAGGAAAGGCAATCCTAGTCAAAGGAATACAGTCTACAGGGACTGACCTGCTCATAAACTTACCACTGTAGGTGGTGTATCAAAAAATTGGTGGAGATGGTGAAGTGTCCTGGGCTTCAAAACACTGTGGTTTTGAATCCATTAAATGATAGTGTTCGTTTTTAAGACTGTGTAACTGTACACATTTAGAAAGTATATTGCACCGATGCCCAGAGAGGACAGAGTTACATGAGAGGAAGGTTTGCTGATCTTGAGAATCTCCTTTCTGAAAGCAACTGGGATCAGTTCTTGTGTCAGGGTTCCACAGTTTATGAGGATGACCTTCCTGCCACTCTGCTTCTGAACCTGCTTTCTGAGACAAAGATGTGCTTTATTTCACTGAGGTGACATCATTCTCCAAGGTTATTTTAGTTTCCACCTGAAGGCCATTTGAGTGTCTATTTGGGTTCTTTACAGAGAAAAAAAAAATAGGAAGCCAAACTGTTTGCAGCTCGGAGTAGCAGGTGAGGTGAGATGTGGCGATTGTTTCCTGCAGCAGGAGGATGAAGTTCAGTGTGGAGGTGACACTGCCACCGGCGGGGGTGGCTGCTGGCGGTGACATGGAGCAAGGGCTGCTGTTATGCTGTGGAGACTTCGCCTCGATTTGGGTGGAGAAGTGACCAAAAACCTGATTTTCATTCAAGAGAAGTCTGTAGACCATTTCTCAGAGCAGAGGCAAATGGAGGTCAGGATTTGCAGGTATATATTAAATAATTTTGTTGGATTTAATTTTATTTGATTAAAGATCTCTGATTTCCTTTTCAAGTTGGGCCCAATTCTTCTAGGACTGACATGTTTGCAGTGGAATAGTATTGCAGCACAATTTTTGTTTTTTCAGGTATAGTTCAAAGTTTCTCAAAACATGATTTGAAAACAAATGGGAAGTAAGATTCGCTATTTTGCTGTTTATCCAGTTGCATGCAACATAAAAGAATAAATTAGCCTAATTCAGTCAGTTTGTCCTTGTGTTTCTGGATAATGAAGCTTTTCCCTTCTCAATCAATCTCTTCCTGGAAGTGTGAAGAAAAATATAATTTTCTAGTTAGAAAGAGGTAAGAAATAGGTAAGAATATGTTAAGTGTTAATAATTCATACTTGTATAGTTGTACATCTGTAGCTCACATGCACTTCAAATTGTGTTTGATTGTTTCAGTTTTCTGACTTCATTACTTTAAAATAATGCTTCTATTATTTTATGCTTTGTGTCTTTATGGGCAATATTCCTGTTTCGAAAATTGTTGCTATTCTTCAGATTAATTGATTATGAGCTGGTGCTTTTTGTTTTGTGTTTGATTTTCTGCAATGTCATTGTTTCACATCTGAAGTTACTTTTTTGAAGACAGAAGCCCTGTCAGCTGGTTCTGCTGCCACAAGGTGTCGTGAGAAGCCGTGTCTGGCTCCAGGATGGGTGGGGGCTGCCGGGATTCTCAGCTGAGGAGCTGTTGTGGAAGGAATGATGTGTTCTGAAAACATTTCATTTCACTGTGCAGCTAAGGCAGCATCTGCATTTCTTGAAGAAACTCTTGCATCTTAGAATTCTGCTTGAAACAAAAGTTGTGTCTGATTCAATGGTCTTCTACATGCCCTGAAGCTTTCATGTTAGAAGTGCTTTAAGGTTGCTTATGTGCCGATGCCTCACAACACCAAGCACTGTAGAACTGAGAGATTGTGCAGGCTGTCAAAGGACTGGTTTGTGGGTTGGGTTTGTAGGGTTTTTCCCCCTCTCTGAATTTACTCCTGTAAAAGGAAGAGTACATTTCCATGAACTGGAAAGAGCTTCTTCCCACTAAATCTGCATTTTTGCTTCTACTTTGAATTTCCAGCTGAAGTTACTCAGATCTCTCACACTCACTCTGTGAGTCATGGTGGGTGTTTTGTTGAATTGCTTTATAGGGTGCAGTCTTGTCAGGAACTTCGTTTTATCTCCCATGGAGTTCAGTGAGATCTGTGTGCATAGTGCTAAAGTACTGAATGTGTTTTAATGAACTTTATTTACTTATTTCTCCATAAACTAAACATGTAACCTGCTGGCATGCCAGGAGAATTCTTGTAATGCCTTTGGGAGCAGCACTGACTCCTGAGTTACAACTCAAAGTGAGTTAGGGAAGCTGAGCAAAACAGTGTCAAAAAAAGTAATGAGAGCATTTTGAAAGGGATTCCAAAAACTCCTCAGGATAATTGTCCATAATCATGTGCAGGACAGAATTTTTCTCAGAATCCAAGGCCATGATGGCCAACAAATACTACTTGATTTACAGTTTGACAGGAAAGACATTGTTTCAGAAGAGTGCAGAAACCTGGAAGGGTATGAAAAGTTAGGGAAGACTCCATCTAATTTGTCAGTAATTCAGGTTCTAGACACATAATGGTCATTAAAGCAAAGTTAAATATTAAAAGAGGCCTAGAAGCCTGGATAAATATGTGGTGTCCATCAACAGTGTTGATTCTGTGTTTAATCATAAATTTTCCCCTAAAGATGTTTAATTGAACTTTACCAGGTGTGACAGTGAGTCATTCCCTGTTAGAAAACAAATTACTTTGATGTCTGTGGAGGAGTGGTGCTGTTCCTCTGCTCTGTGAATTGTCCTCCTGCCTGGCCAAGTGCTGGGCAGGCTGGAGCTCTCCCTAAGCAGTGCCACAGCTCCCTCCGTGGTGACTGTGGAACTGAGAATGAGCCAGGGCTCCAACTTCAGACAAATGTGAGGGTAATTAATGATTCCCAGATGAAGAGAGGAAAAAACATTTGCAAAGCTGAGTGCTGCAAGTACCAAAGCTTTCAGGTGCTCAGGGCTGTGATGGGCCCTGACAGTGGAGCAGGCTGGGCAGCACTGCAGAGCTGGTTTGCACTGGAGGTTTACAGATATGTCCACATGAAGTTTACTCTGGATTGAACTTAATGTGAGAGTACTGGAGTCTGTATTTCAGGTTTTTAATATATCACATTTTAATAGATTTTAAGTGAATATGTTAGTGCACATAAATTGCAGAATTGCCTCTCAAGAATTGCTTTTTCAGTATTAGCTAGGAGTTTATACTGGAGTATGTAATTAACAAGGAAGTAGTCTTCTCTTAACTGCACATCATTGTAATCCTAGGAAATGAGCTTTGTGATTTCCAAATGCACAATACCTCAGCAAAGTCAAGTGTAAGTGTAGTGCAATAGGGCTTTTTAAAAAGCGAGTTTTATTGTTTTTTAATTCTAAGGTGTAATTGATTTTCTAGTTTAGAAAGCATATAATAAAAATGCATTTTGTGTTAACATTTAAAAAAATCATTATTTTAAAACATTTTTTATTGCTTAATATATTGTTGCTAGAACTTCTATCAGTGACAGTATAACTTACAGTAGAGATGTGGGAGACTGAAACTGCAAAGGAATTGTGGTGACAAAAGCTAGAGGTAAAGCATCAATTTCTATTCATCCTTCCTTTTAAATGGAGGAAAGGTGTTCTGCATTTGTAAGGATTACATTGTTGCTTTTCAGAAATGATTCAAAGATGGGTATTGAAAGAGGGAAGGTATGAAATGTCATGTCATTAGGAATTCTAGTTCCATTCAAATAGGAAATGTTCTATTTATGA